GAAAGGCTGAGAGATGGTTTGGTAAAGATAAAGGAAATGTCACTGGTCCTGATCCTTCCCTAAGACCAGCGGGACGGCGGGGCCCTCGTCTGCAGCCTGAGCAAGGAAACATTTAGGAGCGGGCTCCCCCTGCTGGTAGAGCTGGAAGCTGCCTCACACTCCACCTCGCTCGCCCTGGGGATATTCCTCCTGTGCCCCAAGAGTTCACCGCTCTTCTTGGCTCTTCTCCCGCCAGTGAAAGTTCAAGGCGAGGGGGGGATGCGGGGGCAATGTAACCAAGTCCCTCTTCCAGACATTTGCAGGGACTCCATTTTTAGAAAGCAAGGTGGCCAAAAATGACCCTGTACACAAGGGAAGAGGTCTAAAGTGCCCACTGACCTTTTTAAAAGGAACCAAGGCATCAAACTGGTGAACTAGGGCCCCAGTCTTCTAAAATCCCCAAAGACTGGACAGCAAATGCCCATTAGGTTTGCAGGGAGTGGGGGTGGGGGCGGGTGGCAGTTAATGGCAACAGAGAAGCACAGGCAGTGGGGGGTTGTCAGCTGGTCTGGGACACTCTGATACTGGTGCCACCTCCACTCCCCAGCTACAGGCTCCTGGGCAGCTGCTGACTTCTCTGAGCCTCTCATAAAGCACCGACACACATCAGGTGTCAGCCAACGCCGCGTCCCTTTGCGCCTTCCGCATCCCCACCAGTGACAATGGGCAGTCCGTAATTTGAAAGAGCTTAAATTTTTTTAAAAAACACAAAACACTCTTTTTGGCTGCTTGCTTTTAAAGAGAAGATTGTAATATGCAGATATTAAATTTGGGGCAAATTATGCATCTGAATTTAACCAATGGTCCATTCAAATCTTAAGAGGCCAATAATGTGGGAAGCGAAATCTCCTGGGGGAGGAGGCATCTGGCTCCGGTCTCATCTAAGGCCTCAGGGTTTCTCACCTCATACCTGACTCACGCAGTCCAATTTCCCAATTTCACATCCCCAGCCTGACTGGACCCTAACTGTAATCTCCTCTAGTTTTTGAGTGACACAGGCCACAACCACACATGGAATCTGTTCACGATTCTCACCGGACTGGTCAGTTACACACCAGTTACACGGATGGACACAACCCAGCACACAGGTCATAGTATCGATCTTGACAGTTTTTAACTAATAATTTTCTTACTTCACTGAGGTGTTTTGTGGCACTTCAAAAGATACCAGGCGGCCGCCCGCGGAGCTGTTAGAACTGGCATTCCCACAGGCAACATCCGGAATCACCTGGGGGAAGGGGGAAGACACGTTATTGGGGTTGATCACAGTACAAGATAATATTATTATATAAAGCAAATTCCATGAGCTGCATCTCCCTCCTACCTTTCTATGATGATGGGGGGAACAGAGAGGGGACAAGTGAAACCTCATGAACTCAAAAGACAATGAAAGCTTAGCCATTTGATTTCCTGAAACACAAAAGCTTTCCTGAGAGCAGTCTACAAATTCCTGGGATTGTTAAAACTGATCGATAGGATATTGCAGGGAAGTTAGAGGATTTCACTCCCTGTTCTCCTTCCTTTCATTTAACAAGCAGTCATTGGCCACTGCTCTATCTCAGCCTGACAGTAGCCAGGACTAAATGCTTAAAGAACCGGGAGGCAGAGGAGCTCACCAACAGCAGGGTGATCGGCCTTAAAGACAGGACGGCCAGCCTGCAAACCTGCAAAGGGCAAGACGCAGCTGGTCCGCATGAGCCTTCTGAATGCTGAGGGGTCTCGGGAACACGCGCTGAGGCTGGAAAGCTGGGACACGGCCCTCCTTTTTCCTTGTGGGCTACACCTTCGTTTTTAAACTATGGTCCCAAAAGTATTACACTGATGTGTATAAATAAAAAAGGAGCTCAATTAAGGGTAGGGGAAACTGTGCTCATAAAAACCAGATTGTGAACACTTGAGTTGTGTCCAGTGAGGTCGCTTCTGGCCAATTTACGCAATTTATTCCTCGTGCCATGATTACTGTCCTCACCTGTGACAATGAAAATGAAGGGACATTAAAAGTATTCCTCATCACAGAATTAACTGAGAACAATACAGAAACTCTCAACAATTTCACCCCACAACCAACACTTAGAACTTATTTTGCAGAATGCTTTATCTACAGCTAAATGATGTGGATAAAGCCCACCATTCAAATTCAAAGATGTGAGTCTTACTTATTAAGTTTGTGTAACAGAGAGCAATAACATAAATTTTAGTCCTCTCAGCTCCAAATAACTTTATGTTTCCAAAGCCTTATGAATTCTTGAAAAGAGGAAGCCCAAACATGTTCACATTTCTTCCTCTGGCACTTTGCAACCTGCTTCTTGAACAACCTAAGAAATAACACGTGATGGGAAGGCAGGGCATTTCTT